TTACATACTTCACTTTTTTGTATCGAACAAAAACACGGGGACTAGTTGACGTAATCAGCCTCCAATTATTTGGAGGCTGATTACGTCAATGAAGAGAATGAAAAATTATTTCATTTTTTAGTTGAAATTGTAGGCGGTTCCCGAAAAAAAAATAGCGAAAAAATGATCCCTAAAGTCGATACTAAGAGAAATGTATAAACCAATGCTTCCATAAATTTGATCGTGGTTTACCATTATAGCTTTCATACCTGTTTTGTTTATGTTTACTGAGGAGTATTCCTCCGGATAAAGAACAAAAAAGAGTCAAAGAAACGGCAACAATTTAAATAAAGGTCCAACAAATGTCAGCCCACTCACTGAAAGTGTAAATCCAAGTTTCGACACTTACTGAAGAATGCAAATCCAAGTTTTTGATGTTCTTCTATTTACTTCTTTTCACCTAAGGAACTAATGCTTAACTAATAGGGCAGGTTTATAAAAAAAAAATTGTTGGGCAGTGGAACTACTTTGAGCCACCGGCTAACGTGTCTAGAAAGGAAAAAAAAAATCATTTGATGATCAGTTAGAGCTTCTTGTGTGTACAAAATCCACATTGGAGACCAGTAGTTGGTGGTATCAGTTAAAAGCCGGAAATTAAAAATAAGAATACAACGTTTTCTCCTACACTTCCACATGGTCTTGTTGGAACGCATAGTTCTTGCCATCTCTTATTTCTATTTCTTTTTATGGTTTTTGTACTTTCTTTAACCGTATTCTCTTAAATAAAGTATTACTTTCTTATTTCCTTTGATTTATTTAGTTTAAATCCCATCAATCATTCACTAAATCATTTAGACTTTCTAAACAAATAATTATAACACAAGTTAGAGAAGATTGTCCAAGTAAAATATTGACACATAAGTTCTGCTCCCTATAATGAGAGCATCTGAGTCACATGCTTCCACATGCCACCAAAGAGTTTGGAAGTTCCATACACACACACACACACATATATATATACGTTAGACGTGGTATGTGTAAATGACGAACACATCATGGTGAAAACACGTGTTAGAAAGTCATTCATAAAACTTCTTAAGATGATTCAAGAAAAAGGGATCTTGGTCATGTCACATGTGAACTGTTATTGGGCATTAATAATGAACAACTATAAATATATAATTGCGTTTACATTGTGGAGACATCCAAATATCCAATGAGGTATTATATAATACATAGTATGCCAGTCTTGCTGGTATTGGATCAATTAATTGAATGCTTCATTTATCTAATTCTTTTACTGCTTTGATTAATTACTTTTACTTATTACAAATTAAGGAACTTTACTACTCCCTCCGTTTTATATTAAGTGTCATTGTAGAGAATTTTTTATGTTACAAAATAAGTGTCGTTTTCGGTTTTCAATGTAAAATTTATTAATTTTATTATGTAATTTGTTTTTCTATTGGTTAAAATATGGTTAGGTGTATGGGTAATTGTGTTTTTATATAGGAAATATGTAAAATTAATTATTTCCTTAATCCGTGTGCATAGCTATAGAGTGACACTTATATTAAAACAGAGGGAGTATGTCTTTCGTCTTTACATAGATTTCTTAAATATTTTTCATCAAAATATTGAAATATGATTATTAGATTTAACAATAAATACGATTGGTGGAATATATATATATACATATAGATTACTAGGTATAAGTAGAACTTTTTGGAAAATAATCGATTTGGACAGGTTCCTTAGAAATTTAATCACGGCTATGTGCAACATTTTTATTACAAGGAAATTGATGTCCGAAATTTACCTTATGTAAAAGTAAATTACGTGTGAGATATCAAACAAAATCTCACATTTGAAGATTATAAAAAAATTCTAATATATAAAGAAAAATCTAATACTAACTTGTAAGAAAGTTTTTGGGAAAGAATCCAAAAGTAAATCAATGCGGATTTGACTCTAAATCTTAAAGTGAACAATATCGTATTAATCGAACAATAAAGAGTTGGGCATATGCTTTAACAATCACAACCTTGGTATCAGAACAGTTTGACGAGAAATCAGCAAAAATACCAAAATATCGTTCGAGATATGAATGGACCCTTCAGAGCATTAGATAAATAATGTTTAATATATAAAGAGAAATCCAACTCTAATTATTATATATAAAACATTTTAGAAAGAAATCCAAAAATAAATCTAGATTTGATCGTAAAATCTAAAATGGATAATATCATACTAATTGGACAATAAAGAATCGAATATGAGCTTTAACAATCACAACATCACGTAGTTTGAATCTGTTTGCATTCGCTTGATATCAAACTAAAATTTCAAAGAATGCATGCATTATTACTTATTTGTAATACCTTTTTATTTTTACTATTTCATTTCTTGAATGAATGAATCTTTTAAGATTGACCTATTTGTAAAAGAAAAGGTCTACGAATTTAGAAAACTACGGCGAACAATAATTGGTCGAATACTACGTACTATTATTGTGTTTCTAGGATTATGAATTTTAGTCGGCCAATAATTGGAGCCTGAGATATTTATTTTTCAAAAGACACAGTTGGAACAATTAAAGTTAAAAAGGTGAAATTATAGAGAATTCATCTCACCTTTTTTGGTGGATTCCAACTCGTCACTACTAACTTTTTTTTTCTTTCCAACAAGTTTTAAGATATTGTTTACAGTCATGCATTGTTAACATATGCTTCTTCTTACTTGAAATTCCAAACCCGATGGAAAAGGTTTTTTCTTCTTTTTTAAGCTCGAGTTGGAACGGGTGTTTTATTAAGCCAAAATAAAGATGATAGTTAATATATTGAAGTTAGCTTAGTGGACATATATAATATAAGGTCAAAGTCTCAAAGGTTGTCCTTCAATTTTTCATTTTTCCCTCGCATGTTTTAAGTTTTACAAATATAATTTGGGTTTCCAAATTTCTTATGGCTAACCATTAAAAAATAGAATATGATGGATGTGCTTGCGACCTTATAAGTTACTATTTTTGTTGGTAAATAAATTTAACAGTCAACAAAAACGAAAAATACTATAATTTCTGTTCAGTGTTTTTTAACAAAATAATATATTTATTAATTTCAATTCATCAACCGGATGTGTACATATTCCATTCAGTCATACTTCAGGTAAGTTGTATAAAAGAATCTCAAAATAGAAAAATGTATTTGCGAGGTTTGGCAAACAAGTATGCACATGATATAATTTTGTTGCTAAATTCTAATTATTTGGTACAATAGTTGGCTGTTTTATAACATCAGTTGGAGATAGTTCGAAATTTATCGTATATATCCGCTGAACGACTCAATTCTCAGTCGCATTATTATTGATGAGGCACATATGATTCTATGAGAGATTCGGATCTAGGACTGCTTCCTTCTTAACAAAGGCGAATTAGGGCTTGTGTTGTCGAGATAAACTAAATACTCCGAGGTCCGTTGAATAATTTGAATAAGAAAATACATTAGTTAAATTTAGTGACACACGTGTCAACGATGGTGTGATGAGAAATCTCAGACAAACTTCACAATTCACGAGCCAATTGGCGTAAAATCTCAATTATTTTGCTCTAGCATAGGAGACGCTTTACGAACTTGGGGTTGTTAAAAATATAGACGCACTTCACATAAATTAAAATATTACTGCGATAATAATTTTGGAGCATTAACATTTAAAGTAGTTAATAGCTTCTTTTTTTTTTTTGTCACTGAAGTAGTTAATAGCTAAAGCTATAAATTAATTAATACGCCACCAAGTCTCACAACAATCTTCTTGTGGCATGTCGGGAGAAATGGGTGTGTGTACGTATCACTAATGACAGCCAATAACGTAAGACAAGGCCCTAAAGAACCATAATTATTTATCTAATTACCTAATATATATATATATATATATATAGTCATTAACAAAATATTTTCGTCCTTGTCTCTCATGACTACAAACACACTTATAATTAGGTCCATGTCTAGGATATAAGAAGTCAATCAAGTTGGTCCCTTGAACATGTTATTTAATTCGAGCTACTTGATTTTTTTTTACATTGGTTATAAGGAAACTATTGAAAAATCTTAGAGCATGTTTAACCCTAGAACCTTTTTTGGGTTCTTAATTAATTTTTAAATAATAGATTTAGGTTAAGAACTTTTGTTAAGAAACTTTTCGTTTTAACCCTTCCAATGGTAGGTTCTTAATTTGGGGTTTTTAAAAAAAAAAATAGTTAAAGATAATTTTTTTTTGTCTAACAATTTATTTATTAAATAAAATATATTAAAATATAACATTTTAAACATAGATTTAACAAAATATTAAAACAATAATTAGTAAAATAAACGAAAATAATTTAAAAGAAGCATCCAAGCTTAGTTGTTGTCTTCATCACGTCCGAATTTACGACATAATATTCATCAAAATGTTGATCAAAAGTATCATCATCTGATTCCTCAAATGTGTTTTAAGAAGGAGATGCCATATTTGTGTAGCAATTGTTTTAGATTATTTTTTTAAAAAAGAGGTTTGGTGAATGTAAAAGAGAAGAAGACTTTGCAAAGAAAGAGAGGAGCTTTGGTAAGAAAGAAATGAGATGACTTTGGTAAAATAAACTTTGAGAATACAAATTTTATATAGAGTTCAATCACCCGTGACCAAGCTATAAAAGTTTCATTGTTAATAATGCAAACAAATTTGAATCACCAGTGATAATAATACACCCATGACCAATTATCTACACAAGTCTTTCTTTACAAGACTACAGAGTACCATCGACAGACTTGACCAAGTGTTTCGCAGGACCCGTGATGATAATACACCTGTGACCAAGCTCATCATGTAGTCTATGTAGCTCTTTCAATGCACCAAGCTGTAACATTACAATAAAACCTTCAACACCAAGTAACATTACAATAAAACCTTCTGCTGTTTTCATATTTACAAGATCATTCAGCATACTAAACTCGAACAAAACAAAAGCCTCAGAGAGTGAGCGAGTTTGATTACACAAGTAGCAAGTTAACATCGATTCCCATCTAACACTCACGTCCATTTATTACGTTTCTCAACCATTATCTAACACAAGCAACGCTCACATCCGTTTCAGAACAGAATCAAAATGAAAGAGAGAAGTGGTACCTATATTGCGAATTGTAGTCCTTTGGCTTGAAGAACCTTTCTCTTCTCTGTTGATCCACTCCCCTCATCCATTCAACTTAACACAGAAACACCGAAACAAATACATCCATAAAGAACGCAGGCACATTCACACACACATATATATATACCAAGAGCAAGTCCAAGTCCATGAACAGAGTCAAGAAGACAAAATTTATTACAGATAACAAGAAGAGCTCATAGCAATGCATGATCATTCTGATAACAAGAAGAGCACATATACCAAGAGCAAGTCGCCGTTACGTGAAGAGAGCTTCTTCCACTTCCCAACGACGACGGAGAAAGAAGACGTTGCCGATCGAGTCACATCGAAGAATCTTTTCTACGGTGGATGGACCGTTGATCAGAGTCTGAAGATCCGGAGGATCTCACCCCGAGCAGGTACTACTGTTTCTGGACTCCAAACCGATCTCCGGCAAGGTCAGGAGATAGCTCCGAGAGTAAGCCTTCGAGACGTTGTTGCCGAATCAAGGATGTTCTGAGGAGAAGCCACAGCAACGGAGCCGTTTCGACCACGAGCGAATCAAAACTGTACAAACTGCAAGGAGGAGAGAGAGAGGCGGAGTGTTGAATCGTGGAGGAGATCAGCCAAGGTTTGGTGATGAATCGTCGAGAGATCAACCGAGGAAGAGGTGGACTGTTGAACCGTCGAATCCTTCGCGAAAGAGAAAAGGAAGAAACACCAAACTCTCTCTTATTCTAACACGTGGCTCCAAGACTCGGCTCTTCTCCCCTCTTAATTAAGACTCGAGTCTTACATTAATTCATGTTTTTCTTTTTTTTTAATTACAGGTCAGCATTAAGAACTCTTTAAGAGTCACCGTTAATCATGGTCTTATGTTGCACTTCTCTGTGAGTCAAAATACTGAATTGACCACATGGGATGGTGACCCTAACAATTCAAATGTTAATACTAGATTGTCTATATTTTTTGTGTGAAAAGTATCAAAAAACAATAACTTAAAGAATTAAATCAATAGATAATGGTTTCAAATAATTTTTAACAATTTCCATTTTTTAAACTGTGTATGTAGTTTTTAATTTCAAAATTTCTTATACGTATATATAATTAACTGAATAATGCAAAAAAATAAAAGGCGGACTGTTTGATTTAATCATTTTCTTACAAAGATTTGTCACTTTTAGTTAAAGACAATGTGCAAAACTTGAAATTGAAACATGAACCAATAACCCCCCATAAACATGGTTAAGAACTTTAATCTGGCAGTCGATTATAACTTACTAAAAAAAAGTAGTTGGAAAAGTATAAACTGATAGTCGATAACCTACTCAAAATAAAGAAGTATCTCACTGCCAAAAAGTTGAGGCAGTCCAAACTACTAATATGGCAGTATAATAAATATAAACCAATTTTATTCAGTTAAGATATATTAATTTTATGTTTTATATATGAACAGAAATCAAAATCAAAATTTATTAAAGTATATAGAACACAACTCAAAATTTGATTTTTAAAATAAGTTAAGTAATATATTTGATTGATTATTATCGATCAAACATTCAACCTTAAACTGAACCTTGCTAATTGCATCAATATCTGCTAGAATTTGTTCACTTTGATTAATTGTCGTTATTTTGAACTTAAAGCCAAAACTCATTAAAAGCTGAAATATAACTTGAACCCTTTTAATTTGAAACTGAAGTGAAAGAGTTACTTATACCATTAATTATAGGTGCATTTCATTTTTAAAATCATCAATAAGATTTTAATCATATATGTCAAGTATTTATATACATGTGCAAAAAAAAAAAATACAAAATTAAGCGCTACTATACAAAGTTACAAACTATATATATGTTCTTTGAGAATTGAAAACTCTTACTATTAAGTTTTTTTTACATACGCGTTAAGTACAACTTTTTTTTCTTTGTTTGTCAAAGATGCGGTGAGTACAATAAGAGCAGGAAAAAACTAGATTAACAAGTTATTAGAAAAAGTTTCTTATGTACTGATAGCTCTCAGCATGCGCCAGATCTCAGTTGTTTACATTCCACTAAACGTTGCAGGAAATCCATAACCTGTGTAATTTAAAAATGGTGTGATCAGTTGTGATATATGCACAATAAAGAACAGTTTAAGGAACTAGAATTGTAATTTCAAAAAAAAAGGAACTAGAAATGATTTAATATGAACTTAATTACTTAGATCGAACTATATATAAACTTAATACCTCATCAGGCTCTTGCAGAGAATAAGACGCGTTAGTCTCCTTCGGAAATTTGGATACAAGAATGCCAAGACCTTGTCTTTTGTCTCTTAATATCTATAACATCAATTGAATCAAATTAATTTAGATCGTTTAAATAATTTTTTGGGCAAAAGAACAATAACTATTTAATTATGAATATTAGAGAAATTACGATAAAGTTGATAAAAACGATGTTCTATATATATACCTTAAATGCATCTTCGTCTGTGCGATCATCGCCGATGTAAATGGGGAAAACGTCAGTACAATTAGCATACCCTACGCAAGCCAATATTAATTTTAATTAATACTATTGATCTCAACATTAGTCATGTTACTCATAATTAATTAGTTGGCGAAGATTTTACCAAGTGACTCTAATAAAAACTCTAGTGCTTTGCCTTTATCCCACTTAATGATAGGACGAATCTCCAAAACCTGAACGATTATTCCAAAACATAAACCCATTAATTAAGAAATTAAACATAAACCCATTAGAAAAATATAACTAATATCTTACTTTCCTTCCTTGAGTAATACGGAGTTCAGGGTATTCCTTAATTACTGATCGAACTTGATTAGCCAGATCACTCCAGTTCTGTCAATATAAAAAAAATTAATTGATCGCTTCATTTTATTTTTATTACACTAATAATGGAATATTAAATAGAATATTATCGTTCGTACTTTCTCATCTACACGTCGGAAGTGAACAGAGGCACAAAACTTATTGTTTTCTACGTTGGCTCCAGGAGTTACTTTTGTTTTCTCCACTAATTTTTGATAAACCTGCACAAAAACATTTTAAAATAATGTAAGTAACAACAAAGTATCTTTTTTCTTATTATATATGAGACTGAATCTTGAAGGCGAAAGTGACCTCGTCGATCATGGGGAGGAACTCTGTAGCTGGTTGGCAAAGAAGAGATTTACCCTGTAATTTTCATAATAACAATTGAAAATGAGATTTGACCCCAAAAAAAAAAACAATTGAAAATGAGAAATATATAAGAAAAATTCTAAAGTAGAAAAATATTAATGGTTTATTTACGTCAACACTAGAGAAAGAAAAACTTACTTCCTTATACTCGGACCCTTGCGCTGGTCCCTTGATGTCCATGCCATGACTTCCAGCATAGTACAACTCAGTCAATTTCACGAAATTATAAACCTGAAAATTGGCATTGTTGTAATTAGATTCAGTATTTACTCATAACTAGCAATTAATTGCGTCACCTTAAATTTTAGAAATACCTTTTCTCTGGACCTCCCACTAACTATTGCAGTCGGATAACAAATTGCTAGTTTCCTTACGGTTCTTCTCATCTAAAAATCAGACCGAAAAAACAGTAAGTAAAACATATTTCTATTTGAATAACTAGACTTCTTGTATTGTTTTTATTTATATATATATAGGTTTTAGAAATGAACCTTCTTAGACATGAAAGCTCGATCTGGATCATCAACAATGGGGGATAAAGTGCCATCATAATCCAAGAACATAACGATTTGTTTTCCTTCAGAAACCTGAAGAATCTCTTCGAACATATCTAAAGCTGATGGATGCTCTGTCTGCAAAAATTATACAACCCTCGTTTATTATAAGAGAGTAGATAAGCAGATATAAAAGCTTGGTGATCATTGAATGATATACGTACGAGCCAAGAACTTTGTTTCATCAAAGATTTGAGATGAGTAGGAGAACAAGCTCTCATGGAATCAACCCATGAATTGATTAATCCAACTCCATTGTTGATACTAAGATCTTGAAGAACTTTCTTCTTGTTCGTTATTACATCCGTGTTTGATATGTTTCCTGTTTCTTTTTCCATATGTTTTGTGTTTTCTTCAACGAATCTTACTGAAAGTAACATAAAAACAGATGAGGACATGTGAAATATAAACGTATGTTTATGTATTATTTAACAAACTCAGACAACTTACCCATTGTTTCTGTTTGTGAATTTGAGCCGAAAGAGAAAGAGATTTTTGAGCTGTGAGAATGTATGTATGTGTGTGTGTGTGTGTGGGCTTGAGAGAGACAGAGGCTGAAGTGTGGTATGGTCTGGATTTATAGTTGCAAATTATTATAGGAAAATAAAAGATGAAACTTAACTAAAAAAAGAAAAATCAGATATTGCGATGTGTTCGAACGTGGAACCCATTTGAGTGTGGGGCCTACAAAGCGGCTTTCCCGCTCTCACCGATCGTTGAGTTAACTTCGCTCTGCAGCGTTCACAGCAACCGGCTAGGCTACGTGGTCCCCTTTACTATATGCTTCCTCAGTTTCTTTCTTCTAGTAGTTTTTAGTTGCAATATTAACAAAACAATATTATGCATGAAATTGTAAAGTTTCGAATTTTTTTTTGTTGGGGTGGGGGTTATGAAAAATTACAAGATACATAAAGTTTCAACATATGCTAGTCTGCTGGCTAATTGTTTTCTTAGTTTACTTGTTCCTTCAATAAATCATGAAATCTAATTAATAATGAGTGCGTATGTGTATTATATAGTAACTTAGAAATATTATATTGTTAATTAGTCTGATTCCTTAGTACCCATACTTTAAAAAGGTCTCTTACTGTTTGATTCCAATAAATAATGTATTCATATAAACTATTTTCTTGTTGTGAGATACATGTGAAGTAAATACATCTACGCATATCTCAACCCCTTGAGCTAGCTCTTGGAAACTATGAGGATATCGACCGTTCTATATTTTTATTTTTAGTTCGACTTAAGAAAAACTTGTTGTATCCGTTTTTATTAAAATAAAGATTAGGGTGTTTTATCTATTTCGGAGTACGATTTAAATATATATTCTATTATAGGTTCCACAATTCAAAAATTTTAAAATGAGTAGACGAATTTTTTAAGACACAAAATAATCATGTTAGCTCATTATTTTAACTGTTACGACTTGCGAATAAAGACTTCAGTGGTGCATCAGCAAATCATGCCCGCTAATATGTAGTTTTATAAAATGACAAGTGTCTCGTAGTTGCATCGAACATTTCCATTAATAATTTCTGTTAGATATAGTCTCTAGACTATAGATGTTGAAATTTTGTAAATACCACGTGGGTAAGCAGTCATCGCTAATAGAGATTCCTCAAGAGTTCGAATCATATAGTTGTGTGCAAAGCATACATTCGGGTTTATTCCGTCGTAAGTTTCGATCCAATAAATTATCCAAGAATGATTTGCAGAATAGATTATATGGATCGTATACGAGTATTAAAAATCAATTAACCATCCAAGTTGATCGAACATTTCATTAATATATTTAAATCTGCATGCCCCCGCGCGTATGTATAGATCATGATTTAATTATGAAAATTTTAAGAATCTGAATAGGGTTCTTAATAACTTCTAGGAGAAGGAAACCTCATGGAAAAAGATGATCGTGGGACTAAAAGAGTCTAAGATTATTCTCGTGGCCACTCTTTTTTTTTTTTTTTTTTTT